GGGTGGACGGACACCTACCAGCATAAAAACTAACAAGTGAACGAAGGACGAATGAGAGCAGCCAGCCATATCTTAATGAGTAGTATTATTAATTTTGTAGGACTATTCTGCAATTATTAATACACAAAACGATTAGGATGTGTGATTTCATTGTGCTCGTTTTCTGGATCGTGTCATAGACTTTCTCTTAATAGCATCAAGGTGACTGTAAAAGCGCTCCCGAAAGGAAAAGAGCTATGTAAGTAAAATGCTCATAAAAATAATATACATAACGACAACAAAATATACAACCCGTCCATTTCATTGAACAAATGTTTAATGAAGAAAACAATTTACAATTTTATTTAGTATCTGTAGTTGAATACGGTATCTTACAACCTAAGCGACGAGCGTATGACTCACTCTCTTGGTTTAAAATTACTTCACGCCTATTCAATCTTTTCTTACAAACTGATACATATTTTTATTTTACAGTTGGCCTATTACCGTTGCTGCGTTGAACATACAGAAGCACAAAATGCATACCCGATATTGTTTTGGTTTCTACACTCATTTCCCTTTTCCTCTGTGTTATAAATTGTTTCTCGATAACCATAGCAATGTCAGCTGGTGTGGCTAGCAATTACCCTTATTCCAGTGGGAGGTGGGGTGGGGGAGTACGTCACCAGTAAATAGATAACAAATAGGTATTAAAGGAATGTAGCAGACACCGAATCTTTAGCGGTCATTAAAGCAGAGATGGGATGGGAAAGTAAAATACCAGTATAAAGTATTGGCCTAAAATTTCGAGTAGCATGTACACTGTACATAGCAACCGGTGCTCGTTCACTCTCCTCGATTGCTCGTAGATGTCTGGGGTTATCAGTAATACAAGCGATCGGCAATGGGAAAATCATGTCCATGTAACATTTGTGTTTAGTACCAATAGTGCCTATTGTTTGCTTAAGCATGGACTATAGAGATTGAACTTGGTAAATACAAATTGACAATGCAGCGATGTCTACGAAACGAAGCAATGTGGTTGGACAATATTGTTTACTCGCCGCACGGACGACAGAGCACGTGTTAAGATCCCAGAGACATAATCGTAAGCAGTGTTGTATTAAAATTAACGAATATTGTATGTTAGAAATATTAAGAGTAAAATTAATTTGTTCCTACGATGAGTAATATATATTTATACTGAGAAAACAAAATGTTTAGCTCCGGGCTGTGATCACACAATCGATTTTGATTGTCAAACTTAGAACCAAACAGCGAATTATTCAGCCTGAAAGATTCAACGCATCGATGTTATATTTTTCTCTTGTGTCTGTTAGTTTGTTATATTGTTGTCAATGTCATATACCTTATTTCAATAATCAACATTAATTAGGCCTATATAGTATAAGTATTATCTAAATTATCATCCAGCTGTTAGTCTGTTAAAGCAATAGTTTCGTAGCATTTTTCTGCTGATTGTCTTACGCAATGTGATAACTATTAATATACTGTAATTTAAAAAAAAAATATTATTACGATGTAAGCCTTTTGCCAATTAAATGTCTGTTATTGAATACCTAGAATTATAATTGGCCCATACCAATTTGCATTCGAATATTAGATACTAGCACGCCATCGTGTCGGGATTCAATATTTCGACATTAATTATGTCATCATCAGGAATGACACAACAGGGATAGGACTCAGTGATGTTGTACATACTGAATACTATCCACTCATAAGTCAATCTCAAATATGCATCGTCATATTCATATTTTTTACTTCTTGTTGGAATTTCACACCATTTAACTGCACAATAAATTTTCATCTTCAAAAATTCCAATGTATTCACAGTAAAACACTAATAAACAATTTGTAAAGAATCATTGCAAGAACCGTAATTTTTTAAACGTAAAAGGCTCAAGGCGATTTATTAATAGAAAAAAAACCAAACAAACGGTCTATTAAAAGGCGAAGGCGAGTCGAATGGCCAAACGGTTAAAGCAGGTACGCCGCAACCTACAGCCATAATATCGGCGCTGGTTGGAACTGCACGTTCGCCTATGGAACAAGTCTTCTCGGATAAGCACAATAAACCGTAGGCCCAGTGTTACGCAATCGGCTCATGTGTACCTTAAAGAGAACCCAGTTCATTTTTCGAGATGTGTAGGGGTTACCCCGGTGTACTGGTCCATAAAGTCCCTGTTGTGGACACATGAGAGTAACTGGTACCGGTTTACCGGGTAACTCAGACACGCTTAGAGACGCTTAGAGGAGCAGAAAGTTACTATACGAGCTAGTCCACGCTTCGATTTTTTTTTATTCAAATTTTTTTTTAAATGGTATTGTATTTATATATGAGAGTTTATGTGTATTTTTTTTTATGTTATTTGATGTTTTTCGTCCAGGTAGTTTTCCCTCGAGTCTGTGGAACCTGTTTTTTTTTTTTTCTTTTTTGCGATGAGTGACTATAAATTGAATAAAAAAAGAAAAAATGAGACTTTGGCGTAAAGCGCTATATAAATCCAACTATTATTATTATTAAAATATCCAAGCCTAACGTATTTATTTTGAATGTGTAGACGCATTGTGTCAGAAATGACCATAAAATAACCGGAGACATTTATAGTTAATGAGGTCTAACAGATGTCTTAAATTTCTCTGTAATACCTCCAAATGAAACCAACCCTTCTATTATTCGTGCCATTTTATCAATAATGTTTAGACAGTTGGAATGAAAATGAAAGTCTGAATGAAAATTTTGAAAATGAATTGGCCACATTTCATAATCATTTTTTTACAAGACCTTTACAAAGTATTATAGAATGTTTCGTTTAGACCCATTGGTATTTTTTAAGAGATTTTTAGGTCTGGGTCCTCAAAAATTGAAAAGACCCTCAAATTTACACCCTTTACTGAATCGTCACTAACGCTTAAAAATGTCTTCCTTGTAACTTGATTAAACTTTCCCGTAGTAAGTTTCATTCACACCAACTGACCGGCTTTTGAAATATCCGGTGTAGACTGTTTGACCTTAAACCACTTCAATTGGTCCTCACAGGCACACCCCACCATAGATTGACACTAAATATTAGGAGGCACATCCTTGCCATATGGCCTATGCTTTGGCAAAGCACGGAAACAATTTAAGCAAGGGAAGTGACCAAAGTGACAGCCAGAAAAAAACAGTGCAAAAACATAGGAAAAATATATGCAAGAAAAAAGAAAAAAAATCAGAACAAAAACAATGGCTTTTCTCAGTACTACTGGGAAAAGCCAATAATAATAATAATAATAATAATAATAATAATAATAATAATAATAATAGTAATAATAGTAATAATAGTAATAATAGTAATAATAATAATAACAATAACAATAATAACAACAATAACAATAATAAAAATAACAACAACAATAGTAATAATAATAACAATAATAACAACAATAACAATAACAATAATAATAACAACAACAACAACAATAATAATGGCAATAACAACAACAACAACAATAATAATAATAATATTAATATAGCGCCCTTAAACAAACCCCAGAGCGCTGTTTATGGTATAGTACATAATAATAAGAATTCTTACAATTATCTGTTCTAAGCTTTCACAAACGCATGGTTGAAAGTCATAATGTACTTGTTTCCACTATTCATGTACTCTGCGATTCGATTGTACCATGGAACAGTGAAATTATTGTACACAATTACCGCTTTCCATTTTTAAAGGTATATTGCTATGTACTTGCATTTATTTTTTTATTTTATATGGACAATGTCTAAAATAAAAGTGAATGCATGAATGGAAACAACTGTCTACACTAAATTCAGAAATGAGACTCAACCTTTACATTTTATTTGTAAATAGGCTTATCAGAACTGAAGTCATTGTTTTATTTAAATGAAGTGTAATTTTAAAGCCAGGCTCTGGCGGTTTTTTATTTTTTGGTTTTTTGATATGTTGTAGAACTGATTTTTCTAAGACTCAAAATGCATATTTGACGAAAAATTGGAAGCAGTTAATGAGATAGTCATTTTTTAATATTTAAAAACTGGGGAAATATGTTGAAAAAGGAGTGGTTGCAACCCTCTTTCCCCCAGATTGCCTTATTTCGTTTTCGTGTCTTAGAAAAATCAGTTCTACAACATATAAAACCGGAGCCTAGCTCTAAGTGTCATATGGATAATTTTGTAATGTCATATTTAAACTTAAACAATGAAATTCAGTAATTAACCTAATCTATATACCTTAGTAAGTTAGCCTTTCTCAAAAATGTGAAACGTGAAAATCATCATCATCAATTAATATATGCACAGAATAGAGCATCATAAAAATTCAAAGATACTGTATACACAATTTAAGATTTTTTTTAAAAGTAAAAGTATATCAGAGAAAATTACTTCTTTCGATTAGTGTCTCATTGACATCAGTTACGGTAACTTATTGAATCGTTATGATGAATAGGTTAATGATGAGTGATGGGGGGGGGGGGTGTTTCAGATTTTACCACTGCAGATTCTATCTAAAGAATAATACCGTAATAAAAACAATAATAAAATAATACAGTAATTTAAGATGTTTTGTAGTTTACTGATGTTTTACTGATCTGTATGTGTATATATACTACAGTATATCTGTCTCTTATACACATCTAGATGTGTATAAGAGTATACATTTTCAGTGATGACGAGAAAGTCGGTCAACTGGATTTCTAGTCGGTATTGCTCTGCAGCGTAGGGTCCAAGTAATTTGCGTGCAATTTGATACCCGTTTATGTCGTATTATAATGGAACGGCGGTCAGGAAAAATGCTGAAATCTTCAACAAACAACGATTGAAGTGTCGAAAACAAAACGTACTCGAAAATCGATAGGCCCAGCAACAGTCCAACCCGCCCACTAGAGTAACTCAGTAAACGACGCATGCGTCGAACAAAACTCCGCCTCTTTTTGTTTGAAATATTGAAATTCCACTGACGAGCACGGCTATATAAGCATGACGTCGATGAGAACTAAGTACAATTGTATTATAGGCTCTAACAGTTGACGATATATTTCTTTATAAAGTGTATAGTAAAATCAATCGCCATGGAAAATTATCCCATGATGTATGCGGATTTTTCACACCGGTATTCGTTCTCCCCCTTTCAGAAACGAAGACAAGACCACGAGCTTGGAAAGAGGAGAAGACGGAAAACGAAATGTCCAACACAACAGCATGACCAACGACAAGCAGCTAATATGAGAGAGAGAAAGAGGATGCAGTCTATAAACGATGCCTTTGAGGGACTTCGAGAGCACATACCAACGTTACCTTACGAAAAACGTCTCTCAAAAGTAGACACTTTACGCCTAGCCATTGGTTATATCGGATTCCTTTCAGAGTTGCTTGACAACGATCAGAATTCTAGCGAATCGATTGAAGCTTTGAGAACAGAAAAACCAAAGAAAATTATTATATGTCACAGAGGTATGTACGAAAAATAAATGATTTAATCTTATGCTGAATCGAGTTGTTTTCTTACTTTAATTTGTTAAAATGTGATCATTTTTATTTTAAAACTTCTGTGATCATTATGGAAATATAATGATGTACAATATTGATTATACGAATTGTCTGTAACAAAATTGTAATTTTACTAGGAAATACAGTTGTTCATATAATATATTATCGATTTGTATCAATGAATCTAACAAGTTTTAAATGGATTGCCTTATTTCTTTAATTTCAGTTAACGATGTTAAATATTTCTCTCTCTTTCCCGCTTAGGCTCACCAACTCCGGCTGAGATGGAGTATGGCATGCCACCTCTTGCGGGACACTCGCTCTCTTGGTGTAACGAAAAGAAAGTATTTAGCTGCAAATCGAATAACACAATGACAGCGAAGGTTTGGACACCTGAGGACCCACGAGGAGGCGGACATTTTTGTCATCTGAAAACCAGTGACATTCAACGGGAGACCATCCTACCCGAAGACACTATACTAGACGGTCATACATTATTATTGTGAAATGACTACACGAGAAAGCTGAATATATTTCTACCATCCGATCACCATCCATTCTAATATTCGCCTTAAACCTGGACAAAATGTTTGCATATTAAACAACAGTTCTGTTGGTCCACATGATAACGATTTCAATATCTGTGGTCGAATGCGTACGGTGCAATATTGTTTTCTTTTCATATAGATAGGGTAATCATCATGGTTTGTCGATATTTACGTTTGTTAATGTATTCATTAGTTTAAAGTAATCAACGCTTATCAGCTATGAAAACATTCCACTTCAAATTGTTCATTCGACAATAATTAATTTTAAGTTTATTTCACGTTCGCATAAATGAGATTCTCTGAACATTTGAAGACAAATGTATTTTTTTTTTGCATTCAAAGGGTGCCTTATATAAATGTACATAATATATACGATATATTTTTTATGAATCTTTCATTTTTATTGTAACATATCCTATTGCTCTAAGTAGGTTGATTTGAATTAATTATTAATTTAATTTACCACGGGATCCGTATATTACCGTAATCATCTTTCTGGTCCATGTTGCCCGACGTTTAGTGAAAGAAGCGTTTTCATAACTGTTTACATTTATTCAGTGTCCTTTCTGTATGTGATATATATATATATTATTATATTAACAATTATATATAGGCCTATATATAATATGTATATATACATATATATTATTACATATACTATATAATTACATTATAATATGGCTGAAATAAGTATATTATTGTAAATTATAGTATTGAGGGAACTGAGCCGGGAAACAAACTCGAGGTAGCTTGCTTATATATATGCCTTTATATAAATATATATATTTATATATAGGCCTATATAAGTAAGTTATTATTGTTATATATGTTATTTGTATATTTGTATATATAGGCCGATAGAGAGATAATTATATATAGGCCTATATATATGTATATATATATATAATTTAAATCAAGTTGCTGCTTTGATTTATATATATTATTATGTATATATACTACAGTATATATATATATATATATATATATATATATATATATATATAGGCCTATATATTACTACTATAATAATATTAAATTTATATATTTATTTCAGCATAACACAAATCTGGTTTAGCACCTTAAAATATTATTGCATGTGATTATAGAAATATAAGAGGTATCGTAACTGGAGCCTATGGTATAAGATTTTCTCTAGCGGTTTTATGGTGTCTACTGAGCTAAAGTGTGCACTCAACACCCCCACCACCATTAGGTCGATTGATAACGTCAATTAGCAGGCATTTTATATGATTCATTTAAAACAATGTTGTTTTCATTTATTTATTTACATTTTACAGTAGAAACAGAGTCAGTATTCCGGTCTCACGATATATTTAAAATGTATCAAAGTCTGGATATACGAAGGCCAAGGACATTGATTGCAATTGTACATATTTTTCAATATCCGTTTTCTTTTATTTTTTAAAATAAATCGTTATTTTTTTTAGATATCAAAATAAATGTTACTGTATATTAATGTTGTTAATATCATAACGTTTTAACTGCTTATATACATTCCAAGACGTCGATGTAAATAGAAGTATTAATTATGTATAACTTAAATTATATACTGACGTAATGAAATTATTTAAGGAAAACATTCTGAAATACTTTTCCGTATACTTGTTCAATCATGTCTTTTTATAAAGCTTTCAAAAACGATTTTATTAAAATAAATATAAAATATTATATTTGGTTGTTTATTTCGTTTTCACTTTATGGTCCTGTTTGTGTTTAGGTCTATCTGTGTTGAGGTCTACCTGTTTAATTTTCATTAATGTTGTATATACTGCTTTAGCACAATTGTGAGAACACGGGAAATGGTATTTCTATAAAATTAGAGCAAAGATTAGCATTAAAGTTCTCGAACCAGCATGATTCTGCCAGGCTCTGCCAAAGGACTGACCGAGCTAGACCGCCCTAGACATTGTCGATCAGTCATAGCTGCCGTGATTAAAGAGTCCATACGGGCAAGTATGATTCGCGCCCGTGTGTAAAAGAGATATCATAGGCCTAAAGTGGTACTATGTTATTTTACATCTACAAATTGTGCACACACTATCTTTATGGCTAGAGTTCATGAATATTCTCTGCATCATCGTAAATTCACGTGCAAAATGTCGTTGAATTCAAATCAATCAAAGTTTATTGTGTTTTTGCGCATATTAGTCAAACACTAAACTAGCCCGTTGAGCATAATATTATTTCCTTTGAAAGACAAAACAATTTCACACGTCTGCTCATAAAAACCAAATACAAAGCCCTGCGGAAAATGCGATAGCTTGCACATCATATAGCCTACTTGACAATGTTAAAATAATAATAATAATAATAATAATAATAATTATTATTATTATTATTATTATTATTATTATTATTATAGAATTAATATATGATGATAAAAATAGCCACAACAAATAATAATAATAATAATAATAATAATAATAATAA